GTCTTTCTATTGTCCACCACTAATCTACCTCTCATTTCCTTCATTTCAAGTTTGTCCACACTTTTCTGGGGCTTTAAGTCGCGCGAGCTTTGCCGGCGGACGAGATGTGCCGTGTTCGCCATTTCTTTCTTTTTTTTCTTTCTTTCTTTCTTTCTTTTTCTCTGTTACCGCGACCACGGTTTCCTTTCTTTCTTTCTTTCTTTCTTTTTTTTTTTTTTTTCGAAAGATCAAACAGAAATACCACGCGCGCCTATGGACTCCATCCTGTTGGAAGTGAAAAAAAACCTTGGTTACGTAATCGTTAATTACTCGAAGAGAATGAAATATTTTAAGAAAAACAGAGTTGAACGACGAAGCATGAGAATGAGAAAATTTCTTTTTTAACAAGAGTTTGGAAAAATATAATAAAAAATATAAAATTTTAAGGATTTATAGAATTAAATATGGATAATATCGTATTGAATAATCATCTACACGATTTAAAATTAAACTTTGAATTTTATTCAATTAATTTTAAATTTGATTGATAATTAATTGGCAATTTAATCTCGGCCGTAATAAAGCATAACGTTCCAATTTTGAAATTTCATTTAATTAATAATAAATTCAATCGATGATTGATATTTAATATAATGAAGGAACGATATATTTTATTTATAAGCTCGATAACAATATCGAAATTAAATTTTATTCGCTGAAAAGTTTCTATTTTGATGCATTATTAGGTTCATGCGAAATTAAAAAAAAAAGAGAGAAGTAAATATTTTTATAAACGTTTCGTATCATTTGATTCACAATTTCATTGAACACGAGCTTTTTGAAGACACGTTTGCTTTTTGGATACGCTCCATAAATTCACGTTGCATTCGAAATTTCTATTTATCTTGTTCACAGTTCTTCGAATAAAAATAATTGTTTTTCGAAAATTTATTACCTTCAATATTCACAATAACAATTATATTTCTTACGATAATTCCTTCGATCCATTCGCGTCTTTTACATCACCTTTGTAACATCTCATCAAATTTTTTCACACAAAATATAAAGTCTTTTTTTTTTCAGAGATATAAATAAATTTCGATGAATTGTCGCGAAATTCGTGTTGTTACATAACACCGAATATGAAAATTCGAATACGAAAGGAATCGAGGTAAACAACGTATAATAAAAACGACGTGTACACACGCGATTCTCCCGATTTCTCCTTTAATTAAACAATCTTTTCAAGAGAAAAGCACTCGACAAGAAATGTCTTTGCGATTCTTTCCCAAAGAACTTAGTAGTACACGTCGTTTTTTTCATCGATAGTCGATGAGAGAAAGATGTTTGCCTTTCCGCTTTACCATGGCCCTGACCTCGTATAGAAGGGATCTTGACAGTCAATTACCAGTCGCTAAATATTCAACGATTGTAATTGGTCACGGAGAATTGCTTCTTCGTTTAAGATGTTTACCCACCCATCGATTTTATCGACGATCGAGTATCGTCATCAAATTTTGTCCGAATTTTACGAATAAAAATATATCGAGTGAAGGGGAAGACACTTTTTTGTGGAAAAAACATTCTTTCACCAATATCCTTCTATTTATCGATTTCGATAAATATTTCGGATAAAAACATTCTCCCATCTCTAATATAACATTCTAATAACGTATTGGGCGGCAATTTTACACGAGTGCACATGCACTGTAACTATCGTTCCCATTGACGTCACGGGCGCACCGATCAAGTGACATTTTTCGTCCCACGTTCGTAAATGTAAAACGTCCCTCACGATGAATATACAAATAATTCCGAATAAATAATCCACCATTTTACAAACATTTATTGAATCAAGAAAGAAAATCCCATTCCGCACGAAGATCCACACAGTAGATTCGAAGAGAAACGCACGATTTCTTCTCACTCTTCGAGACTCTCGTTGATTTTTTATTTTTTTTTTTTTTTTTCCTTTGAAGATTTTCGATTCTCACCCGGCAATATTCGACATGATTCGCACGAATGCGCGAATGTTGTATATTATCGTGAAATTATTCTGGGGAGGCGGGGTAGGAGGGGGTGGAAAATTTCCGTGCCGTCCTGTGTAATAACGTTTCAAATTCGCCACTAACCTGTTGGGGTGAAAGAAAGAAAAGCGCGAGGGCCTCCTTATGGCTCGAGGAGCAGTTAGCTACTGTGGCACCCTCTACTGCGATGGTAACTTTTGAAATCACGATATCCAACGGAATCAATAGCGGGCGCCGGCGCCCCAATGCCTCCGTGTCCTACAGACCGGAATATGCGTGGACCCTTTTTTGCCCGACAGATTGGTCGATGATGATCGGTGAACCGATCGCAACAAGGCGAAATAACCGTTGGTCGTTTCGTGGCCAATGCTCGCCGCCATTCAAATAGGTGAATTGCGCGGGACCTTGACTGTATTAATATTGATAATTCAAATAGTCCAAGGTTGAAATATTATGAAAAAGAATGGAAATATCGCTTGGAAATTTGTGGAAATAATTATATTAAGTTCAATGATGATTTATGATAGATTTTGTATATATATATGTATATGTGTGTGTGTATGTGTGTATTAGGTCCAATAGAATTACATCCGCATGTGTGTAATCGGAAATTCGGAAGAATTGAAGATTAAGCAGAAGCGTTTGACCTTTACGAAAAGGGAATCGATAACGAGTAACACGTATTTTTATATTCTATGTACGATAGAAAGTGTCGAAATGTGACACGTGTTGAAAAAAGAAAAAAAATTACTATCGACAGTCTTCGCTTAAAGGTGTCGAAAGGAATTATGCTTCAGTAAGTGGTTGTTCCCTTCGATTACTAGCTGTTCGTGTTATGGATAAATAATGCGAAAATCTGGGTGAATCTCAGTGACAGTAATGCAATCACTGTTAATATCGTTTCGAGCTAATGCTCGTTTCAATTAAACAATACAGTTTTCGTTTCGATGGATAGTTGGAAAAGAGTTTTCGTTTAATATTTGTTCAATGTTAAGAAAAATTTAAACGAGCATTCTATTTGACTTTTCTTTTATTACTACAGAATATTTCTTTTATTTCTATATAGAATGGATTTAAATATATGTGTATTACATTCATATGAACACGATGAATGGAACGAACAGTTATTGAAGTTTTAGATTAGAATTTAAATTTCATTTCAATAATGGCTATTTTAAAAATTATTGATTACAACACCAGGAATGTCGTAATATCTTTTCGTTACCGTCACTTGCAGAAATTACAGGACAAAAAAGACTTCGCTGTTTCAGTAGATAAACTCGCCATTAATCGGCCAAGTTGATTATGCTGCCTATACGTGTGTCAGTGTACACGATGATTTAAACTACTTGTGATATTTATTTTCTCGTAAACTGTATAATAAAAAAATAGTTATTAATATTGTTGAATGAAAGATTGTATTCGTTAATTTTTTAAAAAATTTTTTTTAAATTATAAAAATAAAATAAAATAATATTTATTATATAAATATCATAAAATGAATTCGATTTATGATTTTAAGTATTATATTGGAATTTTATTGAAAAAAGGAAAATAAAGAAGATAGTATAAATATAAATGGAAATATTTATTTCATTTATGTACAAAATATTGCAGTCTGGAAATATTTGCTTATAAAAATTTATGAATTGAAATGTAATAAAAAAAAAAAAACTCTTAATGAACGGATTCTTTTATTAGAAATTGTGTGAAATAGAGTATTCCTGGAATAAATAATGCAAATTAACGACGAAATTGCTAATTAATTAAAATGCAAATTAGAAACGAATACTTACGTTCGATCCGCGGTTTTTTAAATCGATCCTCGACAAAAGACTTTATTAAATTTTCTACCGTTTCTTCGTCTTTATAATTGAATTGTTTTATGTTCTTATTGATCAGCAAATATCTAAGAATTTTACGAGTTAAAAAAGATTTTTCAATAGATAAAATCTATAAAGTGTTTTCAATTAAAGGATACAATTCGTGGTAGTAATTGAAAGCTTCGATAGCCCATTGTAAAAGTAAATTTAATCTTGGTCTATAAGGTGTACCATTGATTAATTCTTTCATCGTTTCTTCATCTAATGAAATTTTGCTTCTTGCTTCTTCCAAATTGTTTAAACGATTTTTTAAATCCTAAAATAATATTTTTCTTAATAATTTTATCGAATAATTAATTTTTAATTTTATCATAATTTTGTTAATATATATATATATACATATCTACTATTTAAAATATAATAATGAAATATAATAAATATATTTGAACTGATTTTTTTTTTACATACAAAATATCATTATTCATAAGTTTTATAATTAAATAAAAGAGGAGAAATATTAATTAATATATTATTAACAAACAGTATATGAATGAAAAATTAAAATTATAATTCTATTTACTTGATTAATGTTATTAAATCGTGTCAAAATATCTAAGAGCAGTTCAAGTTCACTGTCGATTCCCATAAGAATTTTAAAAATCAATCTTTCACGTAACTCATCTATTTTACAGAGTTCTGCATCATCGACTTCATTGCTGTAACAGAATGACATCTAACGATAGATCAATGAAACTTAACGACAATGTAGATCTGAAACATACATTAAGTTTCTGCTCTAGCAGCTACACGATACATTTGAACCAGTGATAAAAAGACTACAGTAGTAAGTAGAAAAATAAAGAAGTTAACGTTACCTTATGACGAGTCGGAGTTGCTCTGATTGATTCTTTAATCCGTGTAAAGGCCGTTTGGCTTCTTCGGACAATTGATTCCATTTGCAACTTACTTTCTCTAACTGTGAGAAATAATTTATCAAACATTTGTGTAGTTCCTTTGCCATGTCGTCTATAGGTTAGTGTGCAACTTAGAATAAGTCGTATAGAACATTTTCTGCTACAAGAAATAGAGAGCGCTGATCAACGTAAATATTATCAACTCGAGGAAAAGATTTTATTAATATATTAATATATTTACATAAATATAATATTGTATTACAAGTAGACTATTAAAATTAGCTAAAACTTTTGTTTTTACTTTTGTTTTTATTATAATTATTTACATTTTTATAAATTCTTATTTATACGAATAAAAATTTCTCTATTTTTAATTATCCAATATGCAAATTTAACATTTCTTAAATGCTTTTCTGTAAATGAACAGAAGATGAAATATTTTTATCTATAACTTGTAACGGAGTATAATTTTTCTAGTAATTTTTTCCTATTGTAAATAATGAATCTATATAGCTCGTTTTTTTAATTGAAATTTTATCGATATATTGTATTGTTGCATTGAAAAAAAGAATTTTAAAATCTAAATATAATGATAATATAAATACTTAAATTCGCATTATTTAGATTTATTTATTTGCGTGAAAAATACTTCAATTCTGATTAATTTCGTGGCATTGATAATTCAGTTTATTATTATTATCATTGATGAGCTGAAATTTCATTATAATTATTCAAGTCATTATAAAAGTCATTGGATGAATTACTTTTAATACTTTGCATAATGTCTCGAAAATGAATATCGAAATTTATTTAAATTAATTCGTAATTAATTTTAGTATATTTTAAATCTTAATTTCAAATACAATACATATATAAATTACATATATAAAATATTTTAAGAAATTATATCTTTATATTTAAATATATATAAAACATACTTTAACATTTTATGAAATTTTAAAACCAATATATGATTCAACGATTTTCTTTATACGACATGACTTGTGTATTGAACGGTTTAAAAAAAAAATTGATTTTTAAATGTTTTAATAAAATGACAATAATTATAATGCCAATAACAAATGCCAGATTCAATAAGATGTTATTATATAATATATACAATATTACAATAAAGGATATAAAATATTATTCCAAATTTATTTCAAATATTCAAAATTATGTAAAATATCTTGTTATATTTCTAATTTGTATTTTTTAATCTAAATTGAAACAAAAAATAATAAATAATGATTTTATTAACTTATTTTAATGTTATTTTAGTAAAAGTTTATTAATTTCTAGAAATAAAGTGAAAGGGTTTTGGTACTGACGTAGACGGTCCTGGCTTGGTTTTCTCGTGCCATTCCGCTTTCACAGGGGAGACTGACGGAGATACCCGAACGAACTTTCGACTAAGCGGCATGATGCGCACGCATCCGACAGTATCCCTTGCGCGTTCGGTGGGGCTCGGTAATGGTCGGAGAGTATTTGGTTGGTTCGTTCTGTCGAGCCGACAGCGAGCACAGTAGATTGTCGACCGACAACCCTTTCGCGTGCGAACATGTCTCGCCGCGGTTGAGCAAGAATTCCCTTTTTTTCTTTATCGTTTTTTTTTTTTATCCGTCTGTCTCGATTTGAACGTTAATATAAATAGTGCCAAAAAAAAAAAGCACATCGTATAGAACGTCTCGCACCTGCCGATACGTATCGACGTTTCGTGGTTAGCAGTGTGTGACACGTCGAGCCGTGTCTATTGTCTCACTCTCTTTTCATATATATATATATATTTCCCCAACCCTCTCTGTCTCTTTCACCTTTTTCTCTGTTCGTGATTACTCGGGAAAACATGGATGAGGCCAATGGAAAAATGCGAAGCAAACACGAGGACGTTGATGCTGCGTCTCTCAGTGCCGACATCCTAAACCCCTTCGTGCATCGTCTCGAGCTCGACACAACCTACGACAAACTCAAGGTCAGTAGTTCTGCGAATCTTCCTGCACGCGGAAATATCCCTCGGAATCGATGTTCACGCGTAAGAATGTTTTGAGAATTATTGAGGGCGGGGCGGGGAATTTATGACCGTTGCAATAACGGCTACTTCGCTTTTCGGCCACTACATCATGCCATACGCCAGTCTTTAAAAAACGAACTTGAATGTACGATGTATTCATAAAAATAAAATAGATTTTTCTCGATATGGTAAAATTTACTTTAATTACTGTGTATCAGCGATCGTGTTCGATCCAATATATTTTTTATTTTTGAAATATTGCAATATGAATAGTTACGTAAAATTTGAATCGCTGTAAAGATCGGTTTTCCGACTCGGAGCGGAATTCGACGATTGAATCGTCTGCTTTCATATGGAACGCATCGCGGCATTCGTTTCCTATTTTCGCAATATTTTAACAGGATAACGAGATATTGTAAATATGAAATATTCGGTGAATATATAATTTAAATTATACGCTGTTAATCAATTTTTTTAAACCTTCGATGAAAAACTTTCATGTGTTTAAATTCCATAAATTTAAATATTATCTAAATTAAATTCAATTTTTTTAATTGATTCAAAATAAATGAAACTAATTTTTATTGATTTTCTATTTTGTAAAATATAGATGATTATGTTCGAAAAATTGAAATAAGTATAAAAAACTAAATTCATGAACTTTTTTTCTTTATAATAGGAAATATTTATTGAAAATTGTTTAAAACGTTTCCCATCTATATGTAAATAGTTTTGACACCTTGACATTATCGAATTATCGATATTTTGGGAGTGTTCCTGTCATTCCAAGTGACACAGCTTCGTTACAGATGTAATAGAATTTTTCAATCTAGAACATACTACGTTTCACCTAACTAGCTTACAAGCTATTGAATTTCTCCCACTACAAATAAGTCCGGTAAAACAAAACTAGATTAAACTTATTGTGAGAAATTGTTACACTTACAAAATCGATACCAAACACGTAATAAAACACCAGAGAAAAATATTTATATTGTATCATGTGGATGCATTGCACGATTTATCGCATGGTTCCTTAATGATTAATCGATGATTTCATCAATATCGTTTGGCAGGTGACACGATCGATAGTTTGCACGATTAATCGATATACATTTGATGGTGACATTAAAATATTTTTATCGATATTGCTGACGAAAAATTGCGAGATCATTACTAAATCTTGTCTGGTATAATTTTATTTTCGTAAAATATAATCTATATCATTGATATAATTATTAATTACTATATAAATTGTATAAACTATATATAAAAGTATATAGAAAAGTAAATATAACAATTATTAACAATGAGTGTCTTCAAGTTTTATTAACGAAACGAATCATGAAACAAAACAAAATATGATGTAATCATTCTAGGTCGGTCTGTAATTTAAAAGTATCAAAAGAGAATTCAATCCAAACATCATTATGAACAAATTTTTATTTTCAATAATCAAAAATATTTTAGAGTTTTCGTTTCATTGATAAAAATATTTAAAAATTACTCGATTATTATCCCGTCAATATTCTTATTTTATAAATTGAAAAAAGAACGATTCAAACTTTCCATCTGAAACTTTATCGTGTCTAACAACGAAAAGTTGTAAAAATTCGTCCGTCTGTGCGCTCTAATTGGCACGCACGTGCATTATCCTACAATCGTTCGTGCGGGCGCATAACTTAAACGCGTCACGAGATGTATTTTTTTTTTTTTTTTTTTTT